ATAAATAATTTATTTGTGGCTGCATTGGGTCTTTGTTGCTGCGCAGGCTTTCTCTAGTTGCAGTGAGCGGGGCTACTCTTCATTGCAGTGAGCGGGCTTCTCATTGCGGTGGCTTCTCATGTTGCACAGCATGGGCTCTAGGCAAATGGGCTTCAGTAGTTGTGGCTCACAGGCTCAGTAGCTGTGGCTCGCGGGCTCTAGAGTACATAGCCTTGATTCTATTCTTAAATTAATATAATAAGCTGTGGTCTTTACCTAAATAACTTGAGAAATTGTGGTTTTTATTTGAATAACTAGAGAAGACACTTTTGATGACTTTCAGAATACTATCATCGTTAGGTCAAACTGTATAACTAAATGGTAATAATCAAATAATAATAATGGTAATAATAAATATAATATATTTATTTTCCTTCCTAACTTAGTAGTTAAAATAGTTTTAAAAACAAGTTTAAGAGAAAAACATGGTTGCTATGTATTCAGCACTTTAGATATAGCTCAAGAGCACATTTACATCATTATTGTGTCTTTGTTGATCAAAATAAATAAATTAACTGAAATGTCAAGATCATAAACAGGATTTGAAGTCAGGCAGATCTGGTTCAAATTATAGGTGATGGACTTAGAGCAATCACTTAGCCTCTTTGCACCTCAGTTTCTTCATCTATAAAAAAGGAATAATAGTTATCTTACATTCATTCATTCAACAAATATCTACTGAACTCGTGTGCCCTGAAGCTGCTAGGTTACGATTACCAACAAGACAAGTCCCTGCCATTCCATCGCTTACAGTCTAGTAGAAGAAGTAGATGATAAACTTAAACACATATCTAAAATGATCCCATGTTAAGTGGTAAATGCAATGAAGAAAATAGAACAGAGTAATGGGATAGAACATGACTTGGTGGGGAGAGAGGAGGGGTGTGGCCACCTGATCAAACAAGTCTTCTTGAGGAGATAGCACATTTGAGCTTAGACCCAATTAATGAGCAGCCAGCCATGGGTAGATCTACGAATATCCAGGGGATGGAAAGTTCTTGAGGCAGGAAGAAATTTGGCCTATTTTTATGACTAGAAAAAAGTCCTATGAGGCTGGAGACTAGTGGGAAAAAGAAGAGAGAGTACTGTGATATCTGGAGAATATTAGGATACTAGGAGAGGCAAGCAAGGTTCAGGTCATGTAGGGCCCTGTAGGTACGATAAAGAATTTGGATATTATTCTAATTGCAACAGAAGACATAAACTGGCTCAAAACAAGAAATTGACACCATAAAATTTACATTTTAAAAAGCTCCCACTCTATGAATAAATTGTTAAAACTAATAAGATTGCTCAATAGGTTTGTAATAATCATGTTCCTATATATCAACAGTTTTAAAATATAATTTAAAAGATACCATTTATAAAAGCAATAACAACAAAAAAGATACATAGGAACAAATTAAAGAGTTTAAAGATCCTTATGGAAGTACATTATAAACATTTTTGGACGATATTAAAGAAGGCTTAAATTAATGAAGATATATCCATGTTCAGGAATGGAAAGGCTTGATATCACAAAGATGTCATTTTCCTCCAAATTATTTGATAAATTCAGTACGATTCCAATGACAAATCTCAAGAGGATTTTTCTATCCTTTGTGGCACTTGACAATCTGACCCCAAAATTTATATGGAAGAATAAGGGGACAAAATTAACCACGTCAATTTTTAATTTGCCCTATCAGATATCAACACATAATGAAAACAGTTCGATATTGGGTGAGGAATAGACAAATAAACCAGCAGAACACAATAAAGAACAGTATAAACAGTAGAACAGTAGAACAGAATAAAGAGCTCCTAAATAGACCTACATATACAGGAGAAGTTGGTACATGACAAAAGTGGCATTAAGGTCAGTGGGGAAAGGATGGACAATTAAATAACTGCTGCTAAGACATTTGGTTATCCAAACAAAAAACAAGATCAATCCAGATAATTTAAAGACAAAACCATGAAAAACACATGCTTTTTAGAAGAAAATATGAGAGAATACATTTACAACCTCAGGATAGGGAAAGGGAAGGATTTCTTGAGACATAAAAAGCACAAACCCTACTGGAAAATATACATATATTTAATTACATTAATAGGAAACATTTCTGTACACCCAAGACATCCTAAAGTGAAAAGACAAACCATAAACTAGGAAAAGATATTTGCAGCCAAAAAACCAAAAAGAGTTATTTTCCCGGAAAATAGTAAACAAACAACAAAAGCCTACAAATCAATGAGAAAAAGCAACCACATAGAAAAATGGGCAAAGGATGTGAATTTGAAATTCACAGAAAAGGAAAACTTAAAGGCCAATAAACACATGAAATAATGTTCACTTCCATTAGTAATAGGATAAATGCATACAAACAAGAATGACAGAATCTAAAAAGTATCCAAGTACTAGGGAGGCACTAGAGTAGCAGGCATGCTCATTTAAAGCTGACTGGAATACAAATTGTTACAATCGTTTTGAAGAGCAATTTATTTTTAATATCTGGCAATAATATTGAAATATATTTATTGAAATGATCCTCTATTTCCTAGGTATATTATTCTACAGAAAGTTTTGCATGTATGTATAAGGAGACATAAAAATATTCATGGCATCATGGGGTCTTTGGAATGAAAAACTGGAAATGAGCTAAATGTCCATTAACAGGATAATGGATACATAAATTACAAGTATATTAATACAATAGAATACAGCAGTGAGAATGAATAAAATGCAGCTATACCTGTTAGTGAGGATGAATCTCATAAAGAGAATATTCAGAAAAGAAACCAACTGCAGAAAGTTTTACTTACAGTAAAAATAAAACTTATGTAAAACACTATATATTGATATGGATATGTATGTAGATGTAATAAAAGTACATACATTTCATGGGAACGATAAACATGAAAATCAGGATAGTTTTACCCTTGGGGAATGGGATTAAGGAGGAATACACAGGAGACTTCAATTATAAAATTACATATTTTTTAAGCTAGGTGGTGGGTACACAGTTATCTGTTCCATTCATTAATTTTTGGTAAAGTGGAAATATTTTATAACACAATTTTCAAGAGGAGAAAAGTAATTCTAGCTTATAAAGTGAAGCGTGAACTATCAGAGGGTAAGAAGGGAAATAGGGAGAACCGTTAGCAGACAGTTGCAGTATTCTGAGAGTACACTTGAGTCTCTAGCACAGCTTCCGGCACATGGTAGGTGTTTAACGAACCAGCTATTGTGTGGTGGTTTGCTATTATCATCATCAGGGTAAAGACAGGGGGATTGTGAAGAAAGATAAACTAAATGTTTTGGGTAGTTATATTGAGTGAATTACTGTATTTATCTCTTTTAGTCTTGACTAGGATCTGGTCATAAAGAATCTAAGGCTCACAGAGGCCAAAGCCGGAAGGCTAAAGGCTTCATAAATTTCTATTGACTCATTTTCCAATGTCGCGTAAACTTCCTCCTGAACCCGCCTCAATACACCCACCACTTTCTGGTCCAGCACTGGAAAAAAATTCAAGTGGCTTTTCTCTTTGGTTCATAAGTAGCATATTTTGAGTTAAATATTAATAATTCGATACAGCAAACACTTGGATAGGGGCTTATTACTTATTACAGAATACTTTTGGATCTCTTTTAATTTTTCACCTGATCCTCCTAACAACTCTGAGGACTGGCAGGGCAGTTGATTATTTCTGTTTTACCGATGAGTAAACTAACATCCAAAGAGGCTAATCTGGTGACCACAAACTTCATGGAATCATATCTTAAACATTTTGTGATTGAGTGGGCATTTTTCAGCTTTAATTGTACTTTCAAAGGAGTCTATGACTCCCCAGAGAGGTCTAAGAAATACTGAGTTAAATGATTTGCCTAAAGCCTAAGGTCACATGGTCTTGGTGGAGCCAAGACCTCAAGGAATTTCTTCTTATCCCACACTCAGAATTCTTTCCATTACAACGTATAGCACCAAAATTCAAATTAGAGATATTATTAGTGAAATACTTTTTGTAATGTTTACTGACTGCTAAGATGGAAACGTTATTAAATACACCGAAACTTCTTACTTGGGAGAAATAGTTTTGGCCTGTTCAGCCGTTGGGCATTCACTCAGCAATCTACTCTGTTACAGATGAAGAAGTCCAAACCTGTTTGTTGTCTTTATAACAAGCCCTAGTACAGACTTACTAAATAAGAAATGAATCTGATACAGTAACTATAAAACGTACTTTACAATTCTCAGTAATCTACAGAGAATAATCATGAAATACAGCTTGATTCAGCGATGGAAGGCAGGCTATGAGCTGAGAATGGGATTTTCATTTCTCCTGGGCCAGTCACTTAATGTCTCAGGGTCTCCCTTCTCTTAGCTGTAAAAGGGAGGATTAAAGTGGGTAGCTTCTCAGCTCTAACACTGCATGCAGTTTGATGGGATTAAAATTAAAAGGACGACAGGAGTTTCATGTATAAACTCTTTACACACAGTCTGTTAATGTTAACCTTATTTTCCCAATAAGAAAGGCCAGTGTCCAAGGTGGCTAACTGGTCATTAGCCCCAAGTGTCCTTCTTGGCCCTCAAGAAGGCCAAGCCTGAGTCCCCCTAGGAGTGAAGTAGGGGCGGTTAGGCAGGTGGTCAGAAAGCTATGTCAGGTCTATGGTCCAGTGGGATTTCAAACAGAAGGGCCCTTAATCCTAAATTTAGGAATGAAAGAAAGCGGAAACGCCCAAGCACAGGCGCGAAGGGACCTGCTTAAACAGGCTTGGGTGTGCGAGCGTTTGGGGTGGGGCTTCGAGCCGGGAGGCAGTTGAAGGGCCGAGCGCAGCACCTACCTCCCCATCTCCGCCGCCAGGGGTGGGCTATCACTGAGAAGACTAAGCTACCCTTCGGAACCTCCCAGCCCGGTCAAGGCCACGTGATCCAGCGCCAGTGCGGGGAGAGGCGTGCCCTGCCCTCCGCCCCGCCCCGCGCGCACGCGCGCAGCTCCCGGCGCTGAAATTCAAATTTGAACCGCCGCTGAAGGCCGAGCGTGACACTGGAGGCTGTGGGGAAGAGGAGAGTAGGTTGGGAGAGTTCCCCAGCCCCGGACTTCTTGTTTTCTCCAAGTGACACACTGAACCGGCACTCACTTCTTTTCTTTTTCCGAATTTGAACCACCGTTTCGGTCGTCTCGCAATCGACACGCGAAGCCCGTGGCGATGGACCCGTTTACCGAGGTGAGAAAACTTGCGGGCAGAGCCAGCCATGACCCTTCTCGGCCCCCACCCTCCCTTCCCACCTTCTGTCTCCCTCCGGACCCACCGGGCAGAGAGCGCGTGCGCGCGCGTGCGCAGAGTGTGCGTGCGGGTGTCGGACTGGGGAAACCAGGAGGGGGCCGCCGGTTCTCTCTGCTCTGCGGCTGCGGTTCTGCGGTTTTCTTGTTCTTATTGCTGCAGATGAAGCTCTGGGGGCGGGGTGGGGTGGGGAAGCTTTGAGTCTGTTCTCAGTAGCAGTAGTGAAAAAACCTCCTGTCAGCCCCGGTTATTATATGCCCCTCTGGAGTGGATCCCTGTCCCTTGCGAGGGTGAGGTGGGGGCCTGACCAAAAGATCCCGCTGGAAGTAAAAGCCGGGTTAACTTGCAAGGTGGAGTCGGGTGTCCGAGTGACTCAGTGCTGTGTGTGCAGCCGCCGCCCGGAAATGGAATGGAATGTGATTTGCAGGGTTCCTGTGGCCCGCAGAGGAGCCGTGCATTTAAGGATGCTGTGAACGAAATGACAGCAAAACGTTAAAATAAGCCGGCGCCTGAAACCATTGCATCCGTTCTTATAAAGTCAATAGTTCCTTCAGATTCTATTGCTCAGCTAACTAGCAAAGAAGATTCATACCTGAGATTGATACAAATTGAAAGGAAACAGTGTTAGCCGAATACGTACAAACCAAAATTAATAGCCGACGATTTAAAAAAAAATAGTAAAGAAATAAACCTTTTTGGGTGTGTTTATGGAGCATACCATTACAGCAATACTTCACTCATCTTTTGTTCTTTGGAAATTAAATATGGATTAATTACATTGTTATTGTGTCGATTATTTGTCTAGCTTTGGCTTCTTGTTGACAAGGTACTTTGACACACTCAGGAATTTCCACTCCTTTTCTTCCAGGACAGTTCCTCATTTTTTAGGTTGTTGTGCAAGTTTCAACTCAAAAAATAACAGTTGCTGCAAAGTGAGCCTAAAAATGTCTCTGCACTAGATTGAAAAATTGAATGGAGAGTGGTAATACTTTTTTTTTTTGAGATGTACTTACAATCCTAAGATGTTAAAAGTTTCAACAATTAGAGTTTGCTTGTGTTCAAACACAACAGTGTTTATTTTTGTTTACAAATTCTCAATCATCTCTGGGAGAAAACACATCAATTCGTTAACCTTAAATATTCTAACAGAAAAATCCTGAACACATTTTTGTATTAGCTTTAAAGAATAGAGCTGGTCGTGCACTACATATTTTTCACTTACATTGAAGTTAAAAAGGATACATCATGTTCCAACTTAGAATAGGATTCCTTAAAATATTAGCCCTATGTGTTCTGAATATTTTCATTCTCCTAGGTAACTGACAGGACAAAGCATTTTGAAGGTTGGCTGAAAATTGTACTTTGTTTTACTTAAAAATATTATTCTGAAGCTAGTACAAATCTCAGTTGAAAGAAACTTTTCTTTAAAAGAAACTTCATTTTAGAGTGTGCTCATAAATATGTATGGTTTATGTTATGAAAAATTAGATCGGTTGCAGTTGGAATAAACAGCTTTGACATCTTTTCCTTAATTGGTAATGAGTGAACAATTTGAATTGGTTCCAAAGATTAGGTGCTTAATTATAGCATTCATAACATTTTTGCACAGTGAAACTAACTGGTACAGTTCCTTGTCTGAAAAAAAAATTGGAAGTCAGTTAAACTGACTTTCTCACCCAGAGTTCCTTATCAGAACCATAGAACAGGGAAAATTATTTGAGAGAACTGTTTCCTCAGTTTTCCCAAGGGTGATTCTTAACCAGACCACCCTACAGGCATAGGAGAGATGTTAATTAATTACATTAATGCCAGGGCGTTAGGGATTAATTCTCTTGGTAACTCTAGTTGAGAAAGGCTACAACTATCCTAAACTCTTGTTTCCTCAGACAAGGCTGTTGTGCAGTGGTTCTCTCCTCCCTGCTGTCACTAGTGCTGTCTGGCACACTCTTCCTCTCCCTGCCTCTTCTGCCTGGCAAACTCTGTTTCAACCTGCAGCTCACAGTTTGATTCCCCATCTTCAGAGGGGAGATCACCTTTCACAGTACCCTTCTCACTTGCATTTATTTACCCGTTGAACATGTTTTCTGTTAGAATGTAAGCTTCTTGAAGTAGGACTGTTGTTTCCTATTCAGAGAGATGTTTCCCTAACATCAAGCACATCCAATAATGTTCTGCCAAATTGATATGGAAGAGAGCCATTCAGTGCAAATCATTTTACAGGCAAATAATTATATACAACAGTAACTGTTAGGACATTTTAGCAATATTGTTTTCTCTATTGTAGAAAATTTCAAATATAATGCATCCACCACCCAGCAACACATGGCCGTATTGTTTTACTGTATCCCCTTCTAATCCCTCCCTCTGAATTATTTGGAAGCAAATTCTAGAGATCATATAATTTTATATGTAAGCACTTAAGTATTTATCACTGAACACTAAAGACTTAAAAAAAAATCATAATGCTACTATCACACCTAAAAAATCAACAGCAGTTCCTTAATATCATCAAACATTGTAAGTGTTCAGGTTTCCTTAAGTGTCCCATGTTTTTGCAGTTTGTTTGAATCAGCATCTAGACAGGGTCCACAGGACCATGTCTTCCTAATGTTCTTCATGGACCAACTGGAGATAAAGAATCCATCTTGATTTATGGATGAACAAACAGTTAAGGCACACGTTTACTATTATGATCAGCAGATAGTGTTAAAAAAGTTCTGTTGATTGTATGAATTTGGTTAGTTTTGCTGATGATTAGTTCTTTAAAAGAGCAATTGGATTTAGTCAAAAGATAGTTTATAGCAAAGTAGTTAAGAGTCCAGACTCCAGAGCCTGGTTCTGAATCTTGGCTTGCCACTGTTTTTTGTTTTTTTTTTAAATTTTTGTCCACATTGGGTCTTTTCTTGCTGTGCGCTGGCTTTCTCTAGTTGCAGCCAGTGGTGGCTTCTCTTGTTGCGGAGCACAGGCTCTAGGCACATGAGCTTAGTAGTTGTGGCTCACGGGCTCAGTAGTTGTGGTTCGTGGGCTTAGTTGCTCTGCGGCATATGAGATCTTCCTGGACCAGGGCTCGAACCCATGTCCCCTGCATTGGCAGATGAATTCTTGACCACTGCGCCACCAGGGAAGTCCCTGCCTTGACACTTCTTAACTATGTGACCTATGTCTTGTTATTTAACCCCTGCCTGAGTTTCTTCATCTGTAAAACAGTAGTAAAAACAGAATTTTACCAAATCATATTTTGAAGATGAAATGAGTTAGTGTGTGCAGACACTGAAAGTACTTTATATTAAGTCCTGTATAAGCATTAGTGATTGTTGTAATTTTTGTTAGGTGGATTTAAAACCATCAACTTACTACTCATGATGTCAGTATTAGCCTCTTGGTGTGAAGACCTGCTCACTAGTGATGGTCATCCCACTCCAAGACTAGCACAGAGAAACCCAGAGCTAGGTGTGCCAAGTCAGAGCTTTCTATGTAGGAACCTTAAAAGAGAAAAAGCTACAATTAAAATACATAAAGCATCTTTTCTTGTGATATAAATAGATATACATGCTATCACTGTTTTGGAGAGAGTTTGTCTAATTTTCCAGAACTAAGCGAAATCTCTGTGATGACCTGGGAAAGAATGCTGCTACAGCATTTTGAAAATAATAAGTTAATTGTTATTGAGTCTACTTTGTTTAAGAAGTCAAGAAAATCAGTAGTATCTCCTAGAAAAAATTTCTGTCAGAAATAGTTTGAGGGATATGGGGCAGAAATTGCTTTAGGACTATATGCTTCAGTTATCTTAGATTCATCCATGTGGAATACCTTCCTGATTATGTTAGTAATTGCAGTGTTTTATTATTTTTTTAATGCCTCTGTTATTTGAAGAAGGAGGTGTGTTACTTGAAGGAATGTACCTTATAAATAAAAGATCCCTTAAATTCCTGTTACACTTTTATAAGGAAGGGTGACTTACATTTATTGAGCTGTTGAGTTTATGTATTTTAGATACATCATTTCTTTACATTAATAATCTTTGGTGCTTATTAGTTTTATTTTACAGATTAGGGAACTTTTTTGCTTATCTACTTTAATATGTTTTAATCTTGAAATTTTTGAATCTAATGTAGCAAAAGAACACTTGTGTATATTTGAATGGCAAAACCACATTCTTCTGTGACCCATTACTCATAGTAACCAAAGATATACGGACTCATAAGTATTCTAACTGACCAGAATGGAATGTGGGCGTGTCCATGAATGAATATAGTTAGTCTAGTTTTGTATCTTGGGAGTGATATATTTTATTGTGGGGGAAATTATCAGACATATATGAATTTGTGTAATACTATCACTTTTGAGTTTGTTGAAGACTTTTATTTAAAGGGTGAAGGTCTTGTGTTTTGGAAGGCATTTGGCTCATAAATTACTCTTTCAGTGACATAGCATTTAGGTTTAGTGTTACTTCTTTCAATGAGAAATCATTCCTAAGTAGAGAGTTGTGCCTTCTTCCAAATTTAGCTCATGCTTCTTTTGCATACTCAGAAGGATTAAAAAAATTATTATTCTGTTTTAATTAAGCAACTAAAAAGGTCAGATGGAGTTTAATTCCTTAGTCTGCACTAACTGCTATATCTGTGTTTGCAGGGCAGTCTGTAAACTCCAGCCAGTAATCTGCATGCCTCCTTTGGTTGTGTTCATTTGAAAGAGAGTGAATTGTTTTACAGGGTCTTGTGTTTGCTATACTACACTGATTCGAATTAGGAGCATACATTGGGGTTAGAAAAGAGTAGTATTCACGATTCTATGGAATGGCTAAGATTTCACCTTAAAACTATTATATATTGATATTTAATTAAATAAAACATAAGATTATTTAGGCTTATTTATTTTTCTCTTAGAAAGTGTCTTATGTCTTCAAAGGACTATTATGCCAGTTATCTCTTGCCATCACCCCAAATCTTAGTGGTTGTATTAGTTTTGCTGCTACAACAAATTATTACAAATTTACTGGCTTAACATCACACATATTAATTATCTTCTGTAGGTCAGAAGTCTGATAGGTTTTGCTGGGTTCAAATCAAAGTGTTAGCAGGACTGTGTTCCTTTTGGACGCTCTAGGGAGAATCTGTTTCCTCGCCTTTTCCAGCTGATAGAGGCCGCCTGCATTTTTTGGCCTGTGGCCGAAAAATGTCCATCACTCTGACCTCTGCTTCCCTTGTCACATCTTCCCTGACTCTGAGCTTCTGGGCCGCTCTTCCCTCATAAGGACAATTGCCCTTTTGAGGCCCACCCAGAAAATCCAGGATAATCTCTCCATCTCAAGGTCATTAATTTAATCACGTCAGCAAAGTCTCTTTTGTCATGTAAGGTAACATATTCACAGGTTCATGGGATTAGGACAATGAACAACTTTGGGGGACCATTATTCTGCCTACCATAGTGGTTAAAACAACCAACACATTATTTTCCATGATTCAGTGGCTTAGCATTTGGGCTCAGCTGGGCTGGACTTCTGGTGTCCCCTGCAGTTGTATAGGAGTCTGCAGTGATATACAGATTACCCAGGACTGGATGGTCTAAAATAGCCTTCCTCTCAGGTCTGGTGGTTGATGCTGGCTGTCAGCTGGGCCATGTGTCTAGAGGCTTAACCTGGGCTTCTTCTTGTGGAGGCAGTGTTCCAAGAGAGTGAGAGCAGAAACTACAAGACCTCTTGAGGCGTGGGACTGGAAGTCACATACACAGTATCACTTCTGCTGCGTTTTAATGGTCAAAGTGAATCATAAGGCCATCCCAATTCAAATAGCTTTTGATGGAAGCAGAAAAAAGTTTGTGGCCATTTAAAATCTCATACAACTAACTTAACACATTTTATTCCCCCTTTAATGTTCATATTACGTCCGTAATTAAACTTTGACATGGGGGTGTTCATTTGGTGAATCTTGACTTAATTACTTAGGATTTCACTTTTGAAATGTATTTAACTGTTATCGTACATGGTGGCAATTAGTGATTTTAGAAGATACCTGAAGTTTTCTGAACCTTTGACGAGACTTGTGTTTTAACGCTCTGATATACGTAGAAACTGCTTGAACGAACCCGTGCCAGACGCGAGAATCTTCAGAGGAAAATGGCTGAGCGGCCCACCCCAGCAGCAAGATCTGCGACTCACGCCAAGCGAGTCAGGGAGCCACTTTCAGAAGCAAGTAACCAGCAGCCCCTGTCTGGTGGTGAAGGTAAAAGGCTTTGTGGGGAAAAGTAAACTTGGTATTTTTTAAAAGGAGATAAGCGCCAAGCGTTTTATTGTTCATGCAGAAGAACCAAGGTCTTTAGGAGACAGATGGAATAGCCTCTGGGAGAAAGATCAGCGTGTTGTATTCCAGGCCTATTATATTAGGCCTAGAACCTATCAGGCCAGAGCAGAATTTCTTAACAAATATTTCAGATTAACTGGTTGAACTTTATTTTCCTCATTCCAAAATTATCCTTAAAACCTCTCAGGGAAGAATAATAAAGGAGCACTGGGGCACTTATACTGCCGTAGTATAGAGTTTATCTACCCCAACAGGTGCCAGTGCAGCTGACCACCGGGTTCAGATGTACCTGTGGCGTGAGCAGGGCAACAAAAGGCAGACCTGCCTGCAGATGCTTGTAATTTGATGAGCCTTTTCATCCTCTGTCTGCTGAACCATCTCTCTCAGGCTGGGCACAAAGTACAGGTTGTTAATCTACAGAACTGGTGAAATTAAACAGAAAAAAAATTAAGCAACCCCCCCCTCCCTACCCCCAGCAAATCCACACGCACCTGGAAGCTTGTCTGATTCTTTCCTAAATCCTGGCATCCTCAGCCTACATCAGTCAGCTGGCTTAATCTTTTCCTAGCATTTGGAATAATCTGGAGATGATCATTTCCCTTAGTATAAATTTAAAATACATATAGAAAAAGAGTATTACAGAGGACAAAACCAATATTACAAAAGAGATGAGGGCATAGTGCTGGCTCCCATTATTTTGTGAGCTAACCATAGACGGAGAGTTTATTTTTGTGTGTTAATACATTTTGAAGGGAGGGAATACCGTATATATTACATAGGAAATAGAGGCCTGGCTCCAGTCCAGGATCTCTTCATCGTGGCATGGGTTTATGCAATCAAATATTGAGTACTATGTACTTGAAAACCAGTGGTTGGAACTGTGTTTTGATGCTTAAATGGAAAGATTTACTGTTATAAGCAATGTAAACTCAAAGAATTATTTACTTTCAGATAGTGAAGCATGTTAAATAGGAATACGTCCAAAAAATGATTAGATAAGTTTGTTGAAAATATACCCTTAAATGATTGCAGAAGACTGGAAAGTTTCATGATGTACATTTAATTAGATTGATGTTTATGAGGGCAATCATGACTTCCCACTAATCATACTTCGGTTACTACCAGAACAAGAACACTTGGTTAGACAGCCAATGAAACTGACCTCTTATGGAATTTACATTCCTACCTTTTAAAGTATTAGTTTTCGAGGAGATATATTAAAACTCATTCTTGGGTAAAAATTATATGCCTTGTGTTTGAATAGCTCCTTTTTCTTTTAGGACTTTTAAATTTATTTATAGGTGTTCGTGGAAGTTTAAAATGTAAAATGTTGTTAAACGCTTGTGCCAGTGAATTTGTTTGGTATTGACCAGATAATTCAGTAAGGTTTTGGTTCTCTGCCTCCTAAACCTCAAGCCAGGTGCCCTTCTACCCTTGTTTACTATTGTTCATGAAAGATTGTTTTTAAAAGCAGAAAGCTTGTGTCTACTCTTAGCTCAGCTATGTCACTTTAAGCAGGTAACTTGATTTCTCTGGGCCTGATTTTTCTTATTTAAAAATGTGGTGATTGGGCTGTATGATCTTTAAAATCCCTTAGAATATTTGCTTATTCTGTGTGTGTGCACTTTTTATTTCCTAGTGTCTTAAGACCACATAGAATATTATGCATATCTCTTGAGGATGTTATTTGAAGATTTTTTTCATTAAGGTTTTTTTAAACCATAAATTATATGTTTGTTTAAAGGGAAATCTCTTATATCATATTTCTAAGTTACCGAAAGAAAGTAGAATTTTACGTATTTCTTGTTGTGAGTAAAATCATTTAAAGGAACAGAGAGACGGTGTTTTATTAATTTGTACCTACTGTAAGTTTTTCATGCTGTGAGGAATTACAGAATTTTAATTTTTTTGTCATTTTTAATCTAGAGAAATCTTGCACAAAACCATCACCATCAAAAAAACGCTGTTCTGACAACACTGAAGTAGAAGTTTCTAACTTGGAAAATGAAAAACCGGTTGAGTCAGCTTCTGCAAAACCTTGTTCTCCAAGTCCTATGTCTCCTCAGGCGCAGCCACAAGCGCCAGCTGGTGTCAGTGATTGCGTGGCCACCCCGGCATCGCTGCTGGGAGTTAGGAGAGGGCTAAACTCAAGATTGGAAGGAACTGCAGCCTCCTCAGTCAAAACACGAATGCAAAAGCTGGCTGAGCAGCGGCGGCACTGGGATAATGATGATGTGACAGGTATAAACTATGTGAATGGTGTGGTCCTTAAATCTGTGTCAGTACGATTCAGCTTGGTATGTTGAAAATTTTATGTATCAGTTAACACATGAAAGGTCAATGCTTTTGATCTATATCCTGAGTATCCATTGCTCGCAAATGGTTTGTATAGCAATATATATTTATCAGTTGGTTGTGTTCTCATCGAAGTAGATGATGATGAGGTTCTTAGACTGGTTCACAAAACCCTGATCTTGTAACGGAAACATCTTATATTTGCAATAAAAACAGGAGAGAATAAACTATACTCTTGGCATTATCAGCATTGCTGCCCTTCAGCTGTGTATTCAAGAAATCCTATTTCATGGATTCACTAATTAAATAACCTTGAGTGACTAAGGTATGCAATGCTGTTCAATAGGGGAGAAAGAAAACTTCAGAAAACATTTCTCGAGCACCTGCAAAGCATGTTTTCATGCTAAGATGCCAGAGACAGATAAAGTGACCTGATCTTTGCCTTTCATGGGTCCATAATCTGATGGAGAGCTTATCTCCTACCTTGTTACATAAAAAGCCTTGCGATGACTTACAAAAATACCTATATTAAAAATGGGAAAAATGAAGAAATCAAGGTGAAGAGAAGGAAAAACAAAGTGAAGGGTAAAGTTAGTTTATTAAATACAGGCCTTAAGGTCCTCCTCACTTGCTAGAGATGGTTCAGAACTTGCTAGCAGCAAGTGCAGAGAGGTGAAATGCTATCAATTACATGACTAATGTTTATTAAAAAACAAAACAACAGAGCCGTGGTTGGCACTAAGACCTAAGAGAACTTTCTTCCCTGGGTCCTAAAGATAACTGTGGGAGCTAGTGAAGGTGTAAGGTTTCTCAAGGTAGGCAGATAGCTGGCTCCAGGCTCATTTCAGTAAATGCAGTTCTAAAGTGAGCCAGCACAGTGCAGGTAGACAGCTCGGTGACGACTGGGCCTTACCCGAGGAAGCCAAGCTTTGGCTTTCAGCCCAGCTCCTATGGATCAGAATCATTCAGACCACTGGACTGGAATCTCAGGAGTGCGGTGGAGCCCTGGGGTGTGCTTTTTATTCCTTCCTTCCTTCTTTCCTTCCTTCCTTCCTTTCTTCCTTCCTCCCTCCCTCCCTCCCCCCTCCCTCCCTTTCTTCCTTCCTTCCTTTCTCTTTTTTTAAAGCTCTGTAGGTAATTCTGACACATAGCCAGAATTAAGACCAAGTGTTCTGAGGAAATGGATGGGCTACATATATTTCAGGCAGTCTTCCATAAATATCAATTCTTTTAACTGAAATTTTGATAAGTATTGGATAGAAAAACATTTAAGATGATCCCTTCTGGCAGTGATGATAATCTCAAGAGCAAACACTTACTGTGTGAAATGCTAGGCGTTCTAAATATTTTAAAATTCTAATGTAGGGCTTCCCTGGTGGCGCAGTGGTTGAGAGTCCGCCTGCCGATGCAGGGGACGCAGGTTCGTGCCCCGGTCCGAGAAGATCCCACATGCCGTGGAGCGGCTGGGTCTGTGAGCCATGGCCGCCGAGCCTGCGCGTCCGGAGCCTGTGCTCCGCAGGAAATCTTTTCTGGAGAGGCCACAACAGTGAGAGGCCCGCGTACCACAAAAAAAAAAAAAAAAAAATTCTGTAATATAGCATTTAATTCTTACAACAATCTTATGACATACATACTACTTTTTCTTCATGTTGTAGAAGAGAAGACTGGGTTCAGAGAGACTAAGGCGCCTGCCTACAGTCAGCAGCAGCTAAAATGCAAACCCCAGTTGTCTGACTCTAGGGCTCAACTTTTATGACCTGCCTGATGTTTTGGGGCGTGTTTACAGCGTGCTGATAGTTCACGTTGTAAATTATAACTATTTATTTTAGTGGTGGGTGGGGTTAACCATGCTTCTTTATAACGTCTGAGGAGGCTAACCAGTAAATGTGCCTGAATAGAAGAACGTTCCATTTCTGTTTTGTAGGGAATATCTATGGGCAGAGGACTGGAGATTTTCCTTTTAAAAAAAAGAGGGTTGTGATTTAGTGCATGATCAAGAATACAACCAAGGCCCTAAGCATTCTAGAGAAGGAAGCTTTGCAGCAGTGATTTTGAATATGTTGAAAGCAAATGTTAACAAATGTCCACCTCGACCTTGAAAATAAATCTCATTAAGGCATCATAGCCTGTCTAATTTTAAGCATTGAAACTTATGAATAAAGTGTGATGAATGATTTAGTGAGTACTATACAGGACTGTGGGTATAGCCAATTAAAGGTTTGAGGGATTATTCCAAAATATAATTTATCTGAAGCCTTTCTTTCTGACAAAGAATAGTTAGAGGAGCTAGAGCTATTAAGCCCATTCCTAAAACATAACAGTAAAACTGTCGTCTACTTAGAGGACAGTGCTTATTCTAAAGAAAACGATGAAGGTATGCAAAAAGGTATTGTAGGGAGGGTGGTGGTCAGGAAATCTTTTCTGGAGGAGGCAGAGATAATTAACCTGGACTTTGAGGGGCAGCTGGCTTCAGACAGTGGAGATATTCTAGGCAAAAACAACAGAACGGATGAAAAGCACAGAGGTACCGTGAGCATACTGTGTGTATAAAGAGTAGGTATTCTGGTATATAGTTCATGTGGTAGAAAAGCAAGAGATGAATTTGAAGAAAGCAGCCGGGTCCAGAGCATTTGGAATTTAAGCAGGAGGTGATGGAGAGGAACTGAGAGAGTTTAAGTAGGCAAATGTTTTAGAAAGGTCACTCTGGGCATCAGAATTGAGGAGGGATTGACGAGGGCAGAGATTCCAAGCAGGAACACCAGTTAGAAGGCCAATGCTGTAATTCAGGCATAATGATGAAGGCCTGTGAAAGTGGAGAGGAGGCTGCATTTGAGAGATTTAGGAGATAGAATCTGTGGGACTTAATGACTGGGTGGTAGATGGTAAGGGAGAAGGGAGGAAGAGGCGTGATGAGGAGGAATGTGTTGGGGGCAGTTTCAACTTCAGATATATTATTTGCGGTGTCCGTGGGATAGTCAAATGGAGGTAGCTGGTAGTTAGAAGGAGACCACGAAGGACAGGCCGCAAAGACAGAACTAATAGAGGATGATGTCACGTGGAAATAGAGGGCCCACAAAGTGTGTGGGCATCTGGTGAAAATAGCAAAAGCAACTTCAGGGCAGTGGTGTAGGCAGAAGGCAGGTTGAAGGGAGTTGAGTGGTGAGTGAATATAGTGCAGGGAAAGAGGGACAGTACCTAAAAGGGGGTATACATTGATGAGAGGATGTTTGGGTTTAGCTTTAAGATGAGAGAGACTTGAGCATATTTATGTGTAGAAAAAAAAGTTTGTAGAAAGGAAGAAGGGGTTATTTGGAGCGAGATCCCTGAGAAGGTTTTGGAGGAGTAGAATTGAGAATTCTGGCAGAATTATAAGCCTTGGACAGCAGGAGGGCTATCTGTTCCATTGGCTGAATTTTTGGAATAGATAGTGCCGTGAACTTTGACTGCCCTGTATACTCTATGCATACAGGCCTTCGTAAGTTAAGTATTGCTTATTTGAGATTTATCTCCCAATGAAGTAACTGTGCAGAAAAACATATTAGTCTAACCCTGTGCTATCCAATACCATAACCGCTAGCAATATGTAGCTTTTAAACTTAAATTAATTAAAATGAAATGAAGTTTCTTATTGCTCTTACCACAATTCAGATGCTCACTAGCCATATGTGGCTAGTTGTTACTGTATTAGACACCATGGATATAGAACATCTCCATCATTGCAGAAGGTTCTGTTGTACAGCACTGGTCTAATACATTTTTAAAACAAATATGTTGTATATGTAATCTTAAGTTGTGCAGTGTTATAACATCATAAATTAATCCTAAAAATATAACCTAAATCTATGGTGTCTTATAGATTCATAATCCATCAAATAATTGAAAAAAAATAGGTGTAACAAAGTGTTCTTTTTTTTTTCTTTTTTAAATTTGGATTAAGTATCTGATTTGAAAATATATTGTCAAATTTAAGCAGTTTGGTAGTTTCATGCATATGAGAAAAGGTTTTTTTTCTTTTTTTGAGTGATCCCTTTATTACACACATATATAACTCATGAATTTTAACTTCTAAAACATTTTCAGATGATATACACGAAAGCTCACCCATCTCAGCAATGCCATCAGAGGCTACCTCCCCTCCCAAACCATCCCTTTCAGATGCCTCAGCAACTCCAGTTGGGAGAAAGGGCCGTCTAGCCAACCTTGCTGCAACTATTTGCTCCTGGGAAGATGATGTAAAAAACTCATCTGCAAAGCAAAACAGTGTACAAGAACAGCCTGGTACCACTTGTTTATCCAAATTTTCCTCTGCAAGTGGAGCATCTGCTAGGATCAATAGCAGCAGTGTTAAGCAGGAAGCTACATGCTGTTCCCAAAGGGATGGCGATGCCTCTTTGAATAAAGCCTCATCCTCGAGTGCTGTGGGTGCATCTTTGATTAATGTTGCAATTTCCAGCTCTGGGGTAAGTATATATAATTTTGGTCTTTGGAAACTTTTTTTGTTGTTATGAGTAATAATTTATATATATGTGTAGGTATGCATTTTATAACTTTTATATAGGATGTTTATATGTATTTTTAGAGTATTTCATAGAAAGTAAAAATCATAAATTTGGTATTCTGTCCCAAGATAAATGAGCAATTGACAACTAAATTACACGAATTTAATGTAACTCCAAAGTATATACTGTGGAATGGTGGAACCTCTTCTTAGCCATCAGGGAGAGCCTGAAAATTACTTTCTCTATTAGAATGCTCTATGTATGTGTATAAATACAAGAAAGACATCAAATATCTCTGAAAACTAGTAGCAGTAGTTACCTCTAGAAGGCAGTTGTCAAGGGTGGGCGTGATACCTTTACTGTATATTGTTTTGAAATGTTTGAAAGATTACCTTGCCCATGTGTTATCTCAACGTTTTTTAAAAAAATATGAAAAAACCAAAACAGAAAAAAATGTTGTGTTTCTGAGCATTATCTTTAAGTGTAGAGCCAGGTTTTGGAATTAGACAGACCTGCATTCAATCCCAGCCCTTCCACATAATTAGAAGTGTGGCTTTGGAGAGTTACTTAATCTTGCAAAACTTTATTTTTCCATTTGTAAATTGGGAAAGAAAGGGTTTGGGAGGATTAAATGAGATAATGTGCATAAAGCACTTAGTATGGTGCTTGGCACATAGTAAGTACTTAATAACTTATAGTTCACCTTCAAGTACATGATACAATTTTGTCAAGTTAATATTGATTTAATTAAAATGCAAATATATAGGTAATTTGACCTAATACAGTTAACATTTATAAAGGTACTAGTGTGATAACATAAAAGAAATTGTTTTTTAAAATAGCGAGTGACCCTATCCCTCGTAGTAAATTACCCATCAGTATATTATGCAGACTAAACTACATATTATAATTTGAATAATGGCATTTTCTAAGTTAATTTTTTTCAAACCTTTCAAATTGGTTTGATCTATTAGAGAGGAAGAAACTTTTTTTCATGAGTTTACATAAAGGCTACCGAGCATATAGGATATGAGTTTTTTTTTTATAGGATTTGAGTGCTTTTTATAGAACTCACTTTAGATATTGTGAATGTTGTTATTTACCCTAAGTGTTATCATGTTTCAGAAAGCTACTTCTTCCCCAGTGAAATCTTCTACTACATCCATCGCCAGTGCTAAAAATTGTGAGGTACAAAATCCTGAACTACTTCAAAAAACCTCTGTTAGTCCTCTTAAAACAGAGGTGTCAAAATCAACTGAGAGGTCACCTGTATCCCGGACAGTTCGGCCCAAGGAGGAATTAAACAGAGAAATTTGTCTGCAATCTCAACCTAAGAACAAATCTACAACACCAGGTAACATATTTTTTAAAAATTCTAAAGTACTGCTGACTATTTTCAGTGTGTCTGTTCTTAGCATTTTAAATATCCAATTGTTCATGGTACAGTGTTGGTTTGCCAGGGCAAATGCCTGAACGTATCAAGTGAGACTTATTCAAAGTCAGCTTTAATTGATTGAATGAATGTTCATTAATGTAGACTAGCCCAGTTACTGGTCAAAGTGTTTAACTTGTTACATTTTAACAGTTTAAACATGCTTTTTTCTAGAATGACCATGCTAGATACTTTCTTCTATACTTTTTGATGCAGACAAAGCATATACAACTGGAAATCACATTTTAAGGATATAATGGAGAAGCGTTCTTATAACCAAGCGTGCAAAGCAGTGCTTCTCAAACTTCACTATGAAAGCACCCATAGTAGCAAAGGGAAGGGAATATGTATACAAATGACTCCACTCCCATTTAATTTATATGTGTGTATATTGTATGTGAATGTATACATATGAAAATTCAATTTTACTATGGTAAACTGATGCTCCAGGAAGTCCATATTTATCTTGTGGTGACTTACACCTTCTGGTATACCCCCACATGCTATTGGTTGAGAAACATAGGACTAAAAAAATATGGTTCAAATATAGGGAAATATAGTGTACTTTGAGCTATATTCTTTTTCATTAGAATTGCTTTCGGAAAGACTGTGTTAATTCTACATTTTTACTTCTTAAAAATACAATCTCTCCAGAAATAATAGTTCATCATAAAAGAGAAGTAGTCAGAGAGATGAGAATGGGGAATCCATTAGTTATGGGGTAAGTAGAAACCAGCAGTCAGTTTCCAGATGAGCCAAAATGAGAATTGGAAACAATAGCAAAATCCCCATGTGAAATTGGACTATGACGCCCAATTTTCTGAAGACTTATGGCATAGATAAGAACGACATAAAGGGCATTGTTGGGAATTCCCTGGTGGTATAGTGGTTAGGACTCGGCGCTTTCACTGCTGGACATGGGTCTAATTCTGCCCTTCACCTGTTTTTGCAAATAAAGTTTTATTGGAACACAGCCATGCCCATTTACTGTCTGTGGCTGCTTTCATGCTTCAGTGCAGAGTTGAGTAGTTGTGACAATGGCCATATGGCCTGCAAAGCCCCAAATATTTACTCTTTGGCTATTTATGGGAAAATGTTTGCCAGTTAATGATATAGGTAACCTCCTTTTATGTAGTGCAACCCTAGCATTCTTATAATGGAGGTGGTGTATATCCCATTTGTTTTATTTTAAATGGATCTCATACTATTTTAAATGAGTACTGTTTTAAGACTTTATAAAATCAAGACATCCTTTGATAAAGTAAATTATCCCTAATTATTATTTTTGAAAGAGAAAAAGGATTTAATCACTGGATTTTCATGTTAGACTTCCTAAAAGCAAGAAAACAAATTGGGCTGTAGAAATATTAGCAGTTGGGTTATCATGGCCAGGATACTTGGTTGTTAGGGTTATTATTAATGCACATACAGTCAATTTCCAATCATCTAGGTTCTGATTATTTAGTTTAAGGGTTTTCTAATCCCTACTGTCCTCTTACTCTACTTTTTAAAAATTCTTCTTCTTGTTTTTCTTAAAGAATTAAATCCTATAAAACAAATTTTAGGACATGGAATTAAACAGTGTGGTAAAAAAACTTTTTTTTTTAAGTTTTCTTTCTTTTTTTTTTTTTTTTTTGTGGTACGTGGGCCTTTCACTGTTGTGGCCTCTCCCGTTGCGGAGCACAGGCTCCAGACGCGCAGGCTCAGCGGCCATGGCTCACGGGCCCAGCCGCTCCGTGGCATGTGGGATATTCCCAGACCGGGGCACGAGCCCTGCATCAGCAGGCAGACCCTTAACCACTGCGCCACCAGGGAAGCCCTTTTTCTAAGTTTTTTGAACTATTTTCTTTCTGTTTACTTTCTGAATGAATATTCCTAGTAGAATCAAAGCATTTTGGAGCTGAAATGGATTTAGAACTTTTCCCATAGAAATCATAATTGTTACTTATTCTAAACAGCCTCCCAAAAATGTGTGCATTTTTAGGAGGAGCAGGAATTAAGCCTTTCCTGGAACGCTTTGGAGAGCGTTGTCAAGAGCACAGCAAAGAAAGTCCAGCTCGTAGCACACCCCATAGAACTCCCATTATCACTCCAAATACAAAGGCCATACAAGAAAGATTATTCAAGCAAAACGCATCTTCATCTACTACTCATTTAGCACAACAGCTCAAGCAGGTATGGCTTACTGCTTTTAACGTTATTCATTACATGGTCTGAGCATAGAACCTAGAAGTCAAACTGTGAATTCTGACTCCAGTCTTTTTGACTGGAGATAAATAGCATCTTGATTCTCTGTATCACTTATTTCAAATTAGAAATATTATTGTCCTATATTCTGTGTGTATTGTGAATTTTTTAATCTGAAAACTGAGGACAAGGTTAGTAGAATTTGAATATTATTAAACATATTTTTGGCTCTTGTGTAAAATAGAGCTTTTGATGATTTTAGGAACGTCAAAAAGAACTAGCATGTCTTCGTGGCCGATTTGACAAGGGCAGTTTATGGAGTGTAGAAAAAGGCGAAAACTCAAGAAGCAAACAACTAGAAACCAAACAGGTAATGTAAACAAGAAATGTAAAAGTGAACTTGTTACCAAAGTAGTGCTGGGATTTAACTTGTGGTTCTGTATTGTAAAATAATTCTTAATACACTATCTTGTTCCAATTAACTATGCAGCTTTCCATTCATAAACTCCTTAAATGTTCATGCCAACTTTGCTTTTCTCTTGTGATATTTTGCCATTTAATGGAACTTTTAACCATGTTTACTGATGACCTACTTAAAATCAAATTTAAAAGGTATTCTCATCATTCAGTTGATTTCAGATTCCTTTTAACATTCTGTTTAGATGCTGGTTTTCAAATGTTTCTCAGAATCTACTTTTCTCATTAATGATTATATATCTCTCCCCAAATATCATACTTTTAGACTATCTGTAATTCTTTCAGTCACCAAATACCTCCCAGATTTCGCTTTACTCATATTATTTCTGGTCAAATTTCACTGGTAAGCCTTCAACAAAATCCCTACTGTGTTAAACTATCTTTTGTTTCATCTACATGCCTACTGTGTACAAAATACTGTGTTAGGAGATATACATATATATATATATGTGTGTATGTATATACACATTTTACTTTCAGTTTTATTGAGATATAATTGACATACAGCACTGTAAATGTTTCGTGATTTGACTTACATACATTATGAAATGATTACCACAATAAGTTTAGTGAACCTCCATCATCTCATAGATACAAAATTAAAGAAATAGAAAAAAACATATTTTCCTTGTGATGTGAAATCTTAGGATTTACTCTCATAACATACAGCAGTGTTAATTATGTTAATCAGGTTGTACATTATATCTCTAGTACTTATTCATCTCATAACTAGAAGTTTATACCTTTTGACCACTTTCATCCAATTCCCCCTTCCCCTACCCCCTCCTTTGGTAACCACAAAGATGATCATTTTTTCTATGAGTTATTTTGTTTGTTTTTGAAGTATAATTGACCTACACCACTATGTTAGTTCTTGTTGCACAGTACAGTGATTCGATGTTTCTATACATTACAAAATGATCACTACAATAAGTCTAGTTACCATCTGTCACCGTACGAAGATATTACATTATTATTGACTGTATTCCCAGTGCTGTACCTTTCATCCCTGTGATTCATTTATTTTATAGCTGGAAGTTTGTACCTCTTAATTTTCCTGTGTTAGGATGTATTTTTAAGCTAAAAATAATAGAACTATATTTAACGTGGCTACCAGTAGAAATAGAATAATACATTTATTCTTTGAGAAGGATCTATGTTATTTTGGTTTTTTTTTTTATCAGTTCCCTTGCTTAACAAATCATGTTTCTCAAGGTCCTGATCTCAACCATTTTTCTTGTCTCACTTGTCCTGGAACATCTCTTTCCCATCCTCATATCTAGGTTCAGTCAATCACAGAAATGCTGATGATGCTTGGCTATTCTGCCCTCATCTCTCTCCTGAACTCTAGTTGAGCTTTGGTTGGCTGGCAGAGCTTTCTGTGCTTTGCTGGAATATCTTCCCCATGTAGTCTCTGTCTTCACTTAGGGCTTTACTCTATACTTCCTCATCTAAAACAATCTGGCAGTACCTCCTTGGCTCCTTCCTCTTGTTACTGTGTCTTCCCACCTGCTGGCCTCTAGCACATGCACACATAAGCACACACACATCCAGTGATACATTTTCTAAGTATGTCACCAAGCTTCCTTGTCTTGTGTATTTTCCTCTGCCATTGCCTTAATCATTAACATAGCTTTGTGTGAACACCCTGCTTTTAGTCTGGCTTCTCTCTAGTCCATCTAACCCACTGCTGCTAGAAAAATATTTCTAAAAGGCAGATAGGCATGTATTCCCTTGCTTAAAATCCTGGAGAGCTCCCCATAGCTAACATCAGAAAAATGTCTAAAGTGCTTGGCTTGATATCTAGAATCATTCAGAAATCTGGCTTCTCTTCCCTGCTCCTCCACATGTGTGTTTCAGTCCTGCCATGCAGACTATTTGTAGTCTCTCAAGTGTACGCATATTTTCAGATCTCTTTGTCTTTGACTTGCTAGTCTCTCTGGATGAAATATCTCTGTGGTGAGCTCCTGTTTCATTAAGAATAGGTTAAATTTTAATTCCCTCTGGAATTTTTTACTTGGCCCTTTTCCCAGTCCCCCTCCTGCTGTTTTGGGCCCATGTCATCCTGTTTTTACCTCACTGGAATATTTATCCTCCTATAATTGTTTTAACTTTGTTTTTCACCACTGTCTATGAGAGCCTTATTCATCTCTGTCTATGTTCTCAGTGCTTGACTCACAGTAGGAGCACAGTAAATTTGTCTTTGGAAGAAGGAATGAATGGGCTAATCCTTCCTATCAGCATAGAGCAAGCTATTATCTGTGATCTTAAAACAAAAACAACTCTTTTGATCTCCTATTGCCCTCCCTTTCTTCGCCTCCTTTTCATCCAGACTCTTCCAAAAGGGTGTCTCTCCTTGTATCTTCCAGTTTTTCTCTTCCCTTCTCTCTTGATCTCTCCATTCAGGCTTTCACCACTACCCGTATCAAATTCACCAGTGATCTTCAGTAATCAGTTTTCAAGTGTTTAACTTGACCTATTATTAGCAGCATTTGACATTGTGAATCACTCTCTTCTGTTTGAAGCACCTTCTTCACTTGGTTGCCGGTAGGTCATAGTCTCATGGTTTTCCTTCTACATCTCTGGAAAATAAAAAGCAACCGTTCTTAAATGATTTTTTTGTTAAATGATTCCTGATAAACCTGTGGAATCCCTCCCCAGACAGTTGCACATATACATGTAAAGAAAATTCTGAACACAGTAATGGGGAGTTCAGGAGTCTCCCCACCTCAGAACTCATCTGTGGTACCCACAGAAAGAGCAGCCAGAAGATGGGAGGGAAAAGCAGTTGAGTATGGCGTAACTGAAGTCAAGGGAAGAAAGAGCCTTTCAGAAGGGAGGAGTGGTTGGTATTGCCAAGTGTTTGTTGTCAGACGTAGACTGGACTGAGACCACTGGGTTTTGAAATAAGGAGCTTGTTGTGACTTGGCAGAGCCTTTTAATGAAGTGAGGGTAGAATGCAGGTAGTAGTGGGTGAAGAGCAGGGTCCAGGAGTATAGGCAGTCCTCAGAAGTTTGGTTCTAAAGGGAAGGGAGCAAGGAGGTGGTGGCTGGAAAGGGTTGAGGAAGTGGCATGTGGTTTTGCTTGTATTTGTTTTGTTCTTTCTGAGGAGACAATTATTTTTTCCCAATATGTGGCTTTCACCTGAATTGGTTTATCTAAAGCTGACCTCTGATGTGGATTTTCATTCTCTCTTGCCTACTGGTCTCTAAAAAAGATTTTACTTACTATTAATTACCAAGAATATGAACTAGCACCGAGGCCTTTTGTGTTCTAAACATGGCTGGACCCTTTCACATTCATTATCTGTTTTGTTCTGAGGAAGCTTATATAGAACAATGACTCTTACTTGTTTCATTTAATGACATGTAAAAAGACAAAATTTATAGTTTTGAGAGGTAAAGTTTATCTCTTCATTTGCTTTTTGCAGGAAATTCACTGTCAGAACACTCCCCTCAGAAAACAAGTTGGTCCAAATACCCCATCACTTCCAGTAACAGAAAAGGTGACAGAAAATCAGACACCAGCACAACCTTCTAGTATAGAACCTACGGGTAAGCGTTTTCTATTTCTCCTTCACTTAAAATGTAGATTTCAGTCTACAATGGAAATTGGAATTGGAAATTGGATTGGAAAGCAGAAATGCTGTTTTAGTGTAAAAAGAGAGATTCATTTCTTCATTTCCACTTACCTTCTCATTTCTAGCCATGCAATATCCTTCTTCCTTAATTATCTTTCCAGAGTGAGAACGCATACACTTGATGAGAGTGTAAATTACTATAAGTATTTTTTGGAGAAAAATTCAGTAATATCTATTGAATTGTAAAGTGTGTGTGCTCTGCAAGTGTTTCTGTAAGTTGAATTCTTAGAACTAGTGTGCACAGGTGTATGTACAAATATATTAATTGTAGCACCATTTGTAAGAGTAATAAGATTTAAATGACCTAAATGCAGATTAGTAGAAGACTGTAAGTAAATTGTGCTAAATCCATGTAATCAAGTATTATGTAGCTGCTTAAAATGAATAAGGTTGCTTTGTATGTAATGACATTTAATATATCATAGGCAGTTAAATTAAAAGAAACAGTAGTGGTAAAAAAACATATTACTGAAATTCGCCATCGTAACAATTTTTTTTTTTTTTTTGCGGTACGCGGGCCTCTCAGTGTTGCGGCCTCTCCCGTTGCGGAGCACAGGCTCTGGACGCACAGGCTCAGCGGCAATGGCTCATGGGCCTAGCCGCTCCGCGGCACGTGGGATCTTCCTGGACCGGGGCACGAACCCGCGTCCCCTGCATCAGCAGGCGTACCCTCAACCACTGTGCCACCAGGGAAGCCCCATCTTAACAATTTTTAAGTGTACAGTTCAGTAGTGTTAAGTATATTCACACTGTTGAGGAACAGATCTCTGTAACTTTCATTTGGCAAAACTGAAACTCTATACCCATTAAACAACAACTCCCCTTTTCCCTCTCCTGAGCCTCTGGTCACCAGCATTCTACATTCTGTTTCTATGAATTTGACTACCTCATATAGATTAGATACCTCATATAAGTGCGATAATATAGTATTTGTCTTTTTGTGGCTAGCATATTTAATTTAGCATAACGTCCCAGGTTTCATCCATGTTGACATGTCAAATGTGTGACAGGACTGCCTTCCTTTTTAAGGCTGAATAATATTTTATTGTGTAGATATGCCATATTTTGTTTATCCATTATCCATTGATGGACATGTGGGTTGCTTCCACCTCTTGGCCATTGTGGATAGTGCTGTTATGAACATGGGTATGCAAATATCTCTTCGAGACCCTGCTTTCAATTCTTTTGGCTGTATACCCAGAAGTGGGATTGCTTGATCATGCAGTAGTTCTATTTTTAATATTTTGAGGAACTATTATGCTGGTTTCCATAGTGGTCACACTATTTACAGTCTCACCAACAGTGCACAAGCATTCTGATTTCTCCACACCCTCATCAACACTTGTTATTTTTTGTTTTCTTGACAGTAGCTATCCTAATAGGTATGAGTTATTAGCTCATTGTGATTTTGATTTGCATTTCTCCTATGATTGGAAATGTTGAGCATCTTTTTGCATGCTTGTTGGCCATTTGTATATCATCTTTGGAGAAGCATCTGTTCATGTCCTTTGCCCATTTTTAAATCAGGTTGATTTTTTGTTATTGAGTTGTAGGAGTTCTTATATTCTGAATATTAACCCCTTGTCAAATATATGATTTGCAAATATTTTCTCACATTCAGTAGGTTGATACACAAAACTTTTTTTTGTAAATTGAGGTGTAGTTGGTTGACAATATTATATTAGTTTTAGGTGTACAACATAATGATTAAACATTTTTATAGATTATACTCCATTTTATTTATCATAAAATATTTTCCATGTGCTGGACAGTATATCCTTGAAACTTACTTATTTTATACATAGTGGTTTGTACCTCTTAATCCCCTACTCCTACCTTGCCCCCGCTCCCACAAAAGTTTTTAAGTTTGATGTAGTCCCATTTGTCTATTTTTGCTTTTGTTGCCTGCTTTGTGTTATACCCAGGAAATCATCACCATATCCAATGTCATGAAGCTTTCTTTCTCTCTATGTTTTCTTCTGGGAGTTTTATAGTTTTGAGTCTTACATTATGTCTTTAATCCATTTTGAGTTGATTTTTGGATATGGCATCAGATAAAGGTCCAACTTAATTCTTTGCATGTAAATATCCAGTTTTCCCAACATCATTTGCCCTTTCACCATTGAATTATCTTGGCAGCCTTGTTAAAGATCATTTGACCATGTACGTGAAGTTTTATTTCTGGGCTCTCTCTTCTTTTCCACTGGTCTATATGTCTATCTTTATGCTAGTATCATACTATATTGATTATTATAGCTTTGTAATATGTTTTGAAATCAGGAAATGTCAGTCTTCTAACTTTGTTCTCTTTCAAAATTGTTTTGGATATTCAAGGTCTCTTGAAGTTCCATATGAATTTTAGGACAGACTTTCTATTTCTCCAAAAAGTGCTGTTGGGATTTTGATAAGAATTGCATTGAATCTGTAGATTGCTTTGGGTAGTATTGACATCTTAACAATATTAAGTCTTGCAGTCCATGAACATGGGATGTCTTTCCATCTATTTGTGTGTTTTTTAATGTCTTTCAGCAATATTTTGTACTTTTCAGTATACAAGTCTATCACCTCCTTGGTTAGGTTTATTCCTAAGTATTTTATTCTGTTTGATGCTATTGTAAATGGAATTGTTTTCTTAATTTGCTCTTCAGATTGTTCATTGTTAGTATATAGAAATGCAACTGGTTTTTTTGTGTTGATTTTGTATTCTGCATCTTTGCTGAATTTGTATATTATTCTAACAGTTTTTTTGTGTGTGGAATCTTTAGAATTTTCTGTATATAAGATCATGTTATCTGTGAACAGAGATAATTTTACTTCTTTTAAAATTTGGATTCTTTTAATTTCTTTTTCTTGCCTATTGCTCTAACTAGGACTTTTAAAAAGCTATGTTGACTAGAAATGGTGAGAGTGGGCTTATCTCTAGCTTGTCTTGTTCCTGATCTTAGAGGAAAAGCTTTCAATCTTTTACCATTAAGTATAATGTTAGCTGTGGGCTTCTCATATATGGTCTTTATTATGTTGAAGTAGTGTTTTTCTATTGCTAGTTAAGTGTTTTTATTGACACTTTTTAAAAAGCAAAAACCAAAATGCAGAACAGCATGTATAGTATGATCACACTATTTACAATAGCCAGGACATGGAAGCAACCTAAGTGTCCATCAACAGATGAATGGATGAAGAAGATGTGGCACATGTATACAATGGAATATTACTCAGCCATAAAAAGAAATGAAATTGAGTTATTTGTAGTGAGGTGGATGGACCTAGAGTCTGTCATACAGAGTGAAGTAAGTCAGAAAGAGAAAAACAAATACCATATGCTAACACATATATATGGAATCTAAAAAAGAAAAAAAAATGGTTCTGATGAACCTAGGGGCAGGACAGGAATAAAGATGCAGATGTAGAGAATGGACTTGAGGACACGGGGAGGGGGAAGGGTGAGCTGGGACAAAGTGAGAGAGTGGCGTTGACATATATACACTACCAAATGTAAAATAGAGAGCTAGTGGGAAGCAGTGCATAGCATAAGGAGATCAGCTTGGTGCTTTGTGACCACCTAGATGGGTGGGAAGGGAGGGTTGGAGGGAGACGCCAGAAGGAGAGGATATGGGGATGTATGTATACGTATAGCTGATTCACTTTGTTATACAGCAGAAACTAACAAAACATTGTAAAGCAATTATACTCCAACAAAGATGTTTAAAAAATAAAATAAAATAAGATAAAATAATGGGAAAATTTTTTAAAAGGATATATACATATGTATACATAGGGGGAAAACTGGAAGAACAAACAATAACCTGGTAATATTAGTGTCCCCTTTCTCTTCTAGGGAAGAAGAGAGAGGTGGGAAAGTTAAGAGAAGACAGGTGCTTTGGGGGATTCTCTACTTTATGCATTTCTGGATTTGAACTGCATAGCTTTATAATCAGAAAACAAGATATGTAAGATTCCTTAATTGAAAAACTCTAAATTTTTATATATATATTCATATGGTTTTTCCCTAAATTTTTTTAGGTTTTACTGAATGTGAAATGACGAAGTCTAGCCCTTTGAAAATAACATTGTTTTTAGAAGAGGAAAAGTCCTTAAAAGTAACATCAGACCCAAAGGTTGAACAGCTGACTGGTTGGTTTTTGTTGTTTTCATTCCTTGTCTCTTATTAACTCTGGACACGCTAGGAGAATTAGTATTCTCATATTCAAATATGCAGTGTTCTATATTTCAAAATATGATTTTATAATATTCTTTTTTTTTCCCCACTCGGAAATACTCTAGCTTTCACAAAATACAGTACTGTGAACAGTTATCTTTAGGTCCCAGGCTCCTGTGAAAATCTGATTAAGGCTATCACTCACTTTCAAAGGGAAAGGAAATGTGCTGCCCTTCCACACTCTGCATGTATGGTTAGAGGAATCAGTGGCCCTTGAAGTTTATTTGTGACCCCTGCCCTAAGTGATGTTAATATTTTCCTATTATTGACTGCAATGTGAAAGGGCAGTTCCCAACAATAGAAAAAGAATTATTTGAAAAAATATTTTTTGTAAATCTGAAGCTTTTGGCTATTATCTTGCAGTCTGGGTTTTTAATATTCTTTCTTAAACCCAAAGAATTGAATCAGCTTTTGATAGTTCCCACCTTTATTACTTAGAAAATGTTATTGGAACTTTATATTAGTAGTATTCTATTTCTTTTTGTTTTGTTTGTTTAGGAGGTACTTTTTCATAGGCCTTTTTCTTCCTGTTTATTGAGTAAGCATATGAATGTTAGGTCTTCTCTGTTATCCGTTTAATTCTTAAAGGTCTGAATCACAGTATTTACCTGTTGGAATATTTTTCAGAGGTGGTACGTGAAATTGAGATGAGTGTGGATGATGATATCAACAGTTCAAAAGTAATTAATGACATCTTCAGTGATGTCCTAGAGGAAGGTGAACTAGATGTGGAAAAGAGCCAGGAGGAGATGGATAATGCAGATGCAGAAAGCAGCGAACAGGAAGATGCACTGAATATCTCCTCGATGTCTTTACTTGCTCCATTAGCACAGACAGTTGGTGTGGTAAGTCCAGAGGTAAGAAAGGACTAAATGTAAACAGGCCCAGCACATAAAGAAACTAAGTAGAATTGGGGTCCCTTTTTGTTTTAGTTGGTACATGGGGATTTGGCACTCTGTAGCCAGGGGTATTTTGCAAACCTGATGTTAATTCTCTTAAAAGAGAGCTTAAAACTCTTCAGTGTTTGTTTTTGGCCTTAGATGAAATCCAAACTGTAACATGGCTTAAAAGGCCAGACATTTGGGCTCAAATCCTGGCTCTGCCATTAAGCGATGTTTATGGGTCAGGTTATTTAACCTCTTTGCCACAGTTAAATGTTAAATTAGGTTAAAAATAGTACCTACATCATGGGGGTGAAGTGCATATTAGGTCATATTAGTATATTAGTATTTAGCACCAGATAGATAACTAACATTTATTGAGAGCTAACTCTACTGTTATAAGCTATCACCCTAAATTGAATAGCTGCACCTTTTTTTGGAGATTGATTCATTAGAAATATTTTTTAAAAAGAGTTACAAGTGTAGGCTTCAGCTGTCTTTGAACTTTTACTCATATACATTTTAGGAACTTATTTAAGTTTGTCTTGTTTTTATGATGAATCGATCAACTTATTGGATGTTTGTTTTCTAGTAATAAAGTCATTCAATTCCTCAGATTTCTCATTTAGAATCAATGTCATCCATAAAATCTAATATCTGATGTGCCTTCCTGCAGAATTTAGTTTCTTCGCCTAGCTGGGAATTGAAAGACACCAGCATAAGTGATGAAAGTCCAAAGCCGGGAAAATTCCAAAGAACCCGTGTCCCTCGAGCTGAGTCTGGTGATAGTATAGGTCATGAAGGTCATGATCTTCCTTACAGGTGAGAACATCTTAGAGGACATTCACTCACTAAGGGTCATGGTTTAGATTGACATAACAAGTTTTGTTATTTATAATTATAGTGTTATTAGTATTAATCTTTATAAAACTTTGAAATAGCTTTGGGCAGACTCTCTTTCACCCAATGGCATTTTCCATTCTAGTGAAGTGTTCTACTGATATGTTGCAATATCAATATTCTGCTGATATGTTCAACAAAGGATAGTGCTTAGTGTGTTGCTGGATTTCTAATAGAGTATAACTTATTTCCTGAAGCATTGATGCATATAGATCTCAAAGAGTCAAAGAAACAGACCGTCCTTCAATAAAGCAGGTGATTGTTCGGAAGGAAGATGTTACTTCAAAATTGAATGAAAAAAAGAATGGCTTTCCTTGTCAGGTTAACATCAAACAGAAAATGCAGGTATGTACTGTGGAAAGGGGATTTGGAAGGTTGACAGCGTGAGATGGTGAGCTCCTTGAGGACAAGAGCCCAGCCTTATTCATCTCTGTATCCTGAGTGACTAGGACAGTGTGTGACGTGTAGGAGCTCAGGAGCTTACTCCTGAATTCAGTTTGAGAAAAGTCCTCTTTTTTTGGTGCATAGTCTAGAAATTTGAACAATGAAACTGTAACATTTTGACTTCCCTCTCTGGAGATTTTGGAAATTACCCAATTGGATAAATTATAATTAAAGTTTAAATAAAGTGAAAATGGTGATTAAAAATGTGAGTTTTTTTCCTCCTTTCATTGGTTTCACTAGGAGCTCAATAATGAAATAAATTTGCAGCAGACAGTGATCTATCAGGCTAGCCAGGCTCTTAACTGTTGTGTTGATGAAGACCATGGAAAAGGGTCACTGGAAGAAGCTGAAGCAGAAAGACTTCTTCTAATTGCAAGTAGGTGTGGTACACCTGAAACAATTCCAACACAATTTCACACCAGGAAAAACTCATTTTGTCTAGTATACTCAGGAATTTCTAATTTTAGAGAAAGGGCTTTTTTGATAATCTGTTTCAGCTGATCTATTTTTTGTTTCTTACAAGGTTTGTGAAAACACTACATGTAAAATAAGGTGTAGTTTGCATGAAAAGGTGAAAGAACCTGGAATGCATTTGAAGAAATGAAGTGTAAAGAGTATGCTAAGAACGAATACATGAACTCACACACATACGTACTCTTTATGCACACACACATACATGCTCTGTCTCTGTACCTGTCTATATATGTATAGCTAAAAATAAGTACGTGAATTTTGTTGTGTGTATGTGTGGTGGTGGATGACAGGGCATGTTAGGATGGAGAGATTAACCATGCAAGAAAACTGACTAAAAGTTGAAGTATTAAATTACAAGGATTTTGTGAACAGATTGAGCAATCAAGGTTTTACCTAACTACCTACCATCTATTTATATGAAGGAAGAGTTACTGATTTTGTCTTTGGTGTTGTATACAGTTGTCACATGAGTTCATTTTCTTGAATTGGTTTAATTTAGAAACAATTGCAGTTTTAATATTTGAAATATTAACTTGCATATTTCTACATAGCTGAGAAGAGAACACTTTTGATTGATGAGTTGAATAAGTTGAAGAATGAAGGGCCTCAGAGGAAGAATAATGCTGGTCCCGTATCCCAAAGTGAATTTGTCCCTTCCAAAGGATCAATTACTTTGTCAGAAATCCGCTTGCCTCTAAAAGCAGATTTTGTCTGCAGTACAGTTCAGAAACCAGGTATGGTAATTTTTATTTACTCACTTCTAGATCATATGTTAAATTAGGAATTTCACCTAGATTGGAATTGTGCAAATGGGAACAAGTAGAGCATGCATGAAGACACAAGGCTTGTATGTCGGGCCTTTAGTTCCTTTTATGTAGATGGGTGTATAAAAATAACCAAGGAAAATTTCATATATGTTCTTACTGATCCATGCAATAACAGACATAGGTCTAACTGAAAGTTACGCTTGTTAAACATAATATTGAACATAAAATAAATTACTAAGATGAGTTGTTCTGATAAAACAGACCATTTGACTTGCATTAATTTTATTGTGGAAAGTATTGGGCATCTAAAAGAACTTATTTTACTTACTCTATTCTATTTAAAATTCACTCTGTCATGTAAATTTGTTCTTTGAATCCTGAATTACTGGTTGTGGGAGTGAAGAGCATCACAGTGTAGATACTTCTATTCAAATTTTATTCCCTTTATTCCTCTAGAATGAATAAATAAACTTTTCTAAGCTATGTATTCTGCTTAAAATCATATTTAAACAAAGTGGGTAAAGGAGGTTATGGCACCAGTGTCTGAAAAATAGGGCAGGATGGTAACTTTCACAGAAATATAGTATTTTAATCTCAGTTTTGAAATAACAAACCAGAATTTACCCTTTTGAGATGTATACTATTAGCTAAAGAATTTCGGGTCAATAGGTAAAATTTGAAGTCAGTAGAAACTGAGGAATGTGTAGCGAAGTTATTTCAGTTCACTTAAAATGAAGAGACCTTGATGATGCTGTTCCAGGAACATGTCTGTCTGCTTATGTCATGTCTTTTTGTGTCTGAAAAGTTGACTTTAGAAAATTTGAAATGAATTTTATGTAAATCAGTTGCAGTATTACTTTATTCATTTGGTCTTCCAGAATGCTGATTAGCTAAATCTGATTTTGCTTGTGCTTATTAGGTAATGTGATTATTTCTTACAGATGCAGCAAATTACTATTTCTTAATTATACTAAAAGCAGGAGCTGAAAATATGGTAGCCACACCATTAGCAAGTACCTCAAATTCTCTTAATGGCGATGCTCTAACATTCACTACTACATTTACTTTGTAAGTAAATTAGGCTTTTGATGGTTCAAACATACTTTTCTTTTTTAATAGAGTTAATACAGTCTAAGCATCCAGGTAGAATTTATAATCTTTGAAATGCAGTATGCTTATTGTTTTTATATGGACAAATAACTCATTTTTCAATTTGTTGGTTTAACTCTTATGTTTCCGATCTTTTCTTCCATTGAGTAGCATGTTTCTTCCACGTGACTGTAGGTATTTGATGTTTTGAAGTGTTTTAACATATATATTTACTACACACACACACACACACACACACACACACACACACACACACGCAAAATCTGGACCACAATTTTTTAATATATACTTTAAATCTCTTAATGTACTTAACATTAAGTCTCAGTGAAAGACATTTATATTTAGTGTCAGAGATTTATTTTGAAACTAGAGTCAAAATCTAGTTTGGAAGAAAAACTACTTTTATTATTTAAGATCTTGAGTTGTAAAATGCTGAAGAAAATGTTTGACCTGTATTATAGGAAAAAATAGACTGTTCTTACCAGTTTTTATATTCTTTAATAGTTTGTAACTATTATCTTTAGTTTTAAAACAGTGAATTCCTTTACTCTCAGCCTTGTAACAGTATTTGTGGCATAATTTTTAATGGCATAATTTGATATTTTTATTTTTCCAGGCGGGATGTGTCAAATGACTTTGAAATAAATATTGAAGTTTACAGCTTGGTAAGCAGTTAAAGCTTTCTAAAGTAGCTAATAGTGTATTTTTCTTAAAGACATCAGATTTTAAGTTACTTATGCTTTGGATTTGTGTGTAGGTACAAACGAAAGATCCCTCAGGCCCTGATAAGAAGAAAAAAGCATACAAGTCAAAGGTGAGAATGAAAGAAACCCAGTAGAAATATAATCAGAAATAGGAGATATAATGTCTGTTTACAATTATGTATAATTTTTAATAATTATCAAGCTTTTGGGTCATTTTTATGCCTTAAATTTCTAGTTACTGCACATAATAAGTATAGGTATGAATACTGAGAGTAAACTTGCAGTGAGTGACCATGACCCTAAGTATAAGCTACCGATATTACTCAGGCTAGACAATTCTGTTTTCTCCATATCTGCTTGACAACTATTATTATCTCTTTAAACTTTTCTCAGGCCTTTCCTCTGAACTCTTGTCTTACTAGCTCCTCTAAACCAGACTTAAGAATGATGTGGTCACTGTAGGCATGAGGAATAGAAACAGCTTTGTTTCTGTCCTTCCTAGCCTTTGCTCTTTTGTTCTTTGTCTAAATCATCATTTAAAAGAATTTTATTTAGCTTTAACAAAAAAGGAATAACAGTGTGGGTAAAGCCGGAATAAAAGACTCAAGTATAACGTATTGATATTTAAGAGTTATTTTCTGTGTGGGAGAATCTCAAGTTTGGTTGGTTTTAATCATAATGTTTAATAGGAAATATACTAAGTTATCTTTTCTTCCAGGCTATTACTCCTAAGCGACTTCTCACATCTGTAACCACAGTAAGTAGAATTTTTTGGAAGTTGAAGTTCCTTGAGAAATCTTCATCTTACACATATGATTGGAAATTGGTTAACCGTTTCTAAACCCTAAGTGCTTTGGGAATCTTTAAAATATCCTAAAAGGAAAAAATAATGTTTTCTGAAATATAGTCCTTGTAGTGTTTGTACTTAATATTTAAATCTTTGTATCAAATAAAGAAAATAACTTATGTCCTTCTTCACACCTTTTTTTTAGAAAAGCACCCTTCCTTCTTCAGGTGAGTGAATCTTGAACTATTTGAAACGTTAGGATATAAGCAATCGCATACTTATACCTATAGCCGTCTAGATTTATGAGTGTTTACCTTACTCTCCTTTGAATATTTTCTGTATGGTAGTAACATATAAGATTGCTGGCGAGATTAACCTGCTGTCTGAAACCACCACGGGCCACCAAACAGCACATTGCTCAGGCTCTAGCAGGCAGTACACATAGGATACCTAGTCACTTGACAACTGCAGCAGGTAGCATTACTCTTCACCCTATCTTCTCTTGTTCTGTAGATTTGTTTTGTGCTATCCACACTGAGGAGTTCACCTGTTTTAACTTTACTGATCATGACTGGCATCGCATCATGTCAGAAAAGCATCTTTCTAGTTCACTGGAAACTGGAGTGCCAGTAGGCCAGGGAAGACTTTTCCAGAGTGGCGTTAGGCCTACATTTTCCAAAGGGGATTAGGACTGAGCTGGTTTCACTCACCTTTGGACTTTTGGTCTCTGTTTCTTGGCACAAGAGAATAACTAAGAAGAACCGTGCAGATAAAGTCCTGCTGCTCATTATGTCATCCTAGACTACAGCAGTGAAGCTTTTCGTATCTCTCATAGGAAAATTGCTTTTTATGCACACGATTTTAGGTTCTATATGTTTAAAAACACATCTGTCTCAAATGTTAAGATGTGCCTGTACCTCACTTACGTTAAATATAAATACTTAACAGTTTTCTTTCATTAGGAAATGTGTTGATGTTTTATTCCCCCCACCCTGCCCCACCTCCATATTTGGAGATGGAGGAAAATGAAGCAGTTTTTTCTGTGGCAGTTTAATTTCATTCTGTTAGAGTGGGGTGAGGAATTTTTATTCATACTTACCAAAGTCACTCTGAACTAAACTTCATTTCCTTTTTCTTTAGTTATGGCCAGTCTTAATGCTGTGCGTACCAGCAACTTTGCCCTTGTTGGATCTTACATGCTGTCATTATCTTCAGTAGGAAACACAAAATTTGCTCTGGACAAGGTAATCCAAATTTATTTATTTATTTATAGAAAAATTAGGTCCATGAAAATGTCCCATTACTTTCAAGTATTTGAAATCTTTGGCTGAATATGTATGTTCTTAGAATTGTACATTTTAATTAGACATGGGTTTAGCTGCATGATATGTTTTTTGATGTTGGAAGTATTTCTCCCCTGTATCTTAATAGTTAAGTCTTCAAAGCAGCATATACTGGTTTATTCTAATGTCAAATTCTAATGTCAATTCTGACTAAGAAAGTATTACTTCTTGCATATAGATGTTAAGCTTACAGTTTTAAACATAGTTTCTTGCCCATTTGAAACCAATATTTTGAAATGACTAACATTTTTTGGATTTAGTTTTGACAAGATAGGGAAAGATAGATTAATTTCTTGGAAAAGTACTCATGAATCTAAGGGATTTCCTTCCCGTACTTTCCTCTCCAAGTTTAAGACTTCATAGTTCAGATCTGTGTAGTGTCACTACCATATTGAGTGCTTTTTCACCACACTGTAAAGACTAAATATTTAATAGCTAACGAGACCATTTTAAGCAGTAAGAGAAGTAGAGGCAAACTTTAGTCCTAGTGTCGGCTTCTGCTGTATAATACAGACTATTTAAAAATATTATAAGAGATTTCTGTAGTTAGAATATAACGATGTTTAAAAAAATTCATGTAACTTTTAATTTAGTAATTCAGCTAGTTTAACAAATGGAGTGATTCTGGGTCTTTTTTTCTCTTTGTCTTTTATTTTGTTTGTTTTAGATAAATTATGATGTTAAAGAGCGAGAGCTACTGGGCTATATGTTCCAGGAAAAGGTTGCCATATTTTCTTTGCTTGAAACTAATGAGCTTAAAAATTAGTCCTTAATTTTTGGCCCTTATGTATTTGTTTTACTAACCACTCTCATGTCTTCTTGGTTATTTTGAATAATTAAGGACATTATGTAAATTATTCTTTCTTTAGATCCTTGTAGATGGGCATCTTTTTCTTTAGTCTCATAATTCTTTAAAGCTTTCTTTAAAAGTTCTCTAGTTTTTTTCATGCCTGTTTGGTATTTGGGCTTTTATATTCTTTTTTCATGTTATAATTCTTTAAGATTCTATAGTCACTTCAGCATTGATTTTTCCGGGTACCAAATGCCAAATTAATAACTATGTCTAAAACTAAAATTTATTCAGTATTGTTGACCTCCTCTTTATTGAAAGAACTATTGGTAATGTTTTAAGTGAAAGTAGACAACTTCTGTGGTCTTAATTGGCTAATAGGTATGTTGCTATGTAGTTGATGCTCTGTTTATTAATTTTAAAATTAAAATTCATTTAATGCTAAAATTATACTAAATATATTCATATATTATAGAAATTTTTTTAGGATTTTTAATATCTTTGTGAAGATCAATCACAAGCATCTTGTGGGTGTATAGATATGCTAATTTGCAAATTGCTGGATAGTACTTTTTGTTTTATTTTAAATTCTTTTTTTCCTTTTTTAATTTTTCTTTTTGGCTGCCTTGTGTCTTCGTTGCTGCACGCAGGCTTTACCTAGTTGCAGCGAGTGGTGGCTGCTCTTTGTTGTGGTGCATGGGCTTCTCCTGGTGGCTTCTCTTGTTGTGGAGCATGGGCTCTAGGCACGCAGGATTCAGTAGTTGCAGGGTGTGGGCTCAGTAGTTATGGCTTGCGGGCTCTAGAGTGCAGGCTCAGTAGTTGTGGCGCATGGGCTTAGTTGCTCTGCGGCATGTGGGATCTTCCCAGACCGGGGATCAAACCCGTGTCCCCTGCATTGAGAGGTGGATTCTTAACCACTGCACCACCAGAGAAGTCGTATTTTAAATTCTTAAAACAACATTTGCAAATTAGGTAAACATAAGGACTGGGGTTCTGTGAACTGTATTCCTTACTCGGTGTTGTCCCATAGCCAATTTCTATATATGTAAGAGATTTCATGAATCTCTAAAATGAAAGAGATTTCAATGACATATGTTAAATATAGACTGATTGCTCTTTAAAAATTTTTTTCACTGCCATTTTAATTTAAAACATCACACAAATTAAAAATAAATTACATGTCCATTCTCTTAAAAAATGTTTTGAAATTATAACTTAAATATCCAGCCACCTGATCTGAGTGTAAAATCAAATCAGTTTAATGGTTGTGTCCAATACTGTAAAGTCTCTTCCTGAGTCAAATACAATATAATTTAGATGAAAAATTTGTCATAGATGTGCTTTTTTGAGTGGCAGGGGGGAGCAAGTATTTGTTCTAATACCTTGTGGTTATGTAGGAGAATATTTAAGATAGTTAAGTTTAGATGTTCTTTAAATTGGTGGGAAAAATGGAAGACCTTGTATATTCACATAATAATCCCATTTGATTAAATTTGAGAGAGTAAACAAGTCTCCCATATCCTACCAGAGACCATCAGTGCAAGGGAACGTTTGCTTATTTTACTGGTGTCTTGACCAATAAAGATAAGTCGCGGGGTTATCTCTGAGACCCCTTCAGAATGAGATTTCTGTTGAGGTTAACCCAGTGTTTGCTCTATAAATTTAGGATACCGCTAATAACGGATTGCTTTCTTATTTGAACTTATAGATATTGGATGTAAAGTCTGACGTCCTGGAATTTAAATTATGAATTTCAATGAGTCACGCTCTCAAATCCTTTCTTTGAATAGAGAATCCAAAATAATCATAGGTTTTACTATACTTTTATGGATAAAGGGAGAAGCATATCCCACAACTCATCTTCTGACTTAAAGAAATGTCATAGATATTTATACCTTCCAGGAAATAGAGATGTCAATTTAAATAGTATTAGGGCAAACACCTGTGAGGTAAAACAAATGATTAGCACTGTAGAATTTTGAGGTTGTAGGAAGAGTGATTAGGTGTTCTGGTGTGTCCAAAGCTATCCTGGTTTATGCCTGTTGGTCTGGTTTAATTATTAACAGGTATAATTATTCTCGCTCAGAAATATCCTGACGTGTAAAAAATTATACAGTCACCCTGATTATAGGGTACATTTTACACCTCTTAACGATAATCTTTGAGGTGTTGATAATCTTAAAAGACCATTTTGTTAAACAGAAAACAGAATAAGATCATACATTTTCGCACGTCTCCACACTTGACAGGGTGTAGTAACATTGACTCTTCTGTGAATATTCTCAGTTCACTTCAGGACAAGCTTCTAACCAAGAATATTGTCTACTTTTCACAGCTGTAGAGTAAGAGGAAACATTTTCTTCTCATCTTTCTGAGATTCTTCTTACCAGGAGCATTCTCTGGGCTAAATAGTAGAATTATATTAATTAGCATTGAGAGGCTAAGGAACTTAACATTGACGATATAGAAAAGAAAACGGCAAGGGAATTTATAACAAATATAATAATGAGGCGTATGATGTTTTGACTCTACATTATAGATGCCTTTGAAATTCAGAAAGTTGAAGGTTTATTTTATGGAGTTAGTCTCTTGAAATCCATACTTTTTGGCCAACAATCCCCCCTTTAACTTATCTTTATTAGGTTGGAGGACTAAATTTTTGGAAACTAATCTTACAGTAAAAACTTTCTAATTTAGACTGAACTAAGATTATTCCAACAGGGTGTCATTCTTCTTCACTGGGCAGCAGGAATGACAGACTAAAGCATTCCCCTTTCTATCTTGACCCAGAAGTCAATATGACTTTAAATATTTGGATGTTACCATTTTACTCTAATGATACAACTTCTCCAATTGAATTTTTCTTATATTTGTAATCTTTAATTCACATTCAGAATCATTTTAAATTATCACATGTACTTAAGCAGCTTTTATAATTTAAAAGATACTTTTGACATGCGGTCTCTTCATTATTAATAGACTGATAAGAATGATTTGTTTAAAAATATTTCTTATGTGAATATTTTCATGCTAGACAGAAAGCATGACTTTATTGGGAAGAAAATATCAGTCCCTCAAACTTCCAACTAGTAAGAGCAACATAGTCTCAATTTTAGGCAATTAGTTTTTGTTCTGTCAACTTATGCTTCATGTATTTTAAAGCTATGCTATTAGGTGCATAAATATTTAAGATTATTATATCTTCTTGATGAATTGTTAACACTTTCTCTCTGGTAGTCATCTTTATCTTAAGGTCTACTTTGTCTGTTATTAATAGGGTCACATCAGCTTTCTTATGATTAATGTTGGTATGGTATATCTTTTTCCATTCTTTTTTTTTCCTCCCTGGCCGTGCCACATAGCATGTGGGCTCTTAGTTCCCCGACCAGGGAACCCATGCCCCCTGCAGTGGAAGCACACAGCCCTAACCACTGGACTGCCAGGGAATTTTCTCTTTTTCCATTCTTTATTCTCAATCTGTCCATATATGTCAAATTAGTGTATCAGAAGCATATTTTATGGTCATATTTTGTTAGTTTAACAATTTTTTGTCTTTTCATTAGCGTGTTTAGTACATTTATGTTTAATGCAATACTAATATGGTTGGGTTTAGTCTACCACAAAGCAAGCATACTTGTAGCCTACAGGCAAATCTGGCTCTTGGCCTGTTTGTTTTTTTTTTTTTAAGTTACTTTTGTCACAATTAATGAACTGATATTGATATATTAGTAACAAAAGTTCAGCAGCCTGTTTTTGTAACTAAAGTTTTTGACACAATCATGACCATTTATGTATTGTCTGTGGCTGCTTTCATGCTACAATGGCAGATTGAATAGTTGTGACAGAGACTGTATGGTCTGCAAAGTCTAAAATATTAATTGTCTGGGCCATTACACGAAAAGTTAACAGACCCTGGTCCTACTGTTTTGTTCTTTATTTTTTATTTGTCTCATCTGTTCTTTGTCATTTGTTTTTCCTTTCTTGACTACTTCTAATTGAGTATGTTGGTAATCATTTTTATCTTTTCTGTTGGCTTTTTAGCTATACCTCCCTGTATTCTTTTTCAGTTATTGCTAAGGATTACAATATGCATCCTTAGCCTATTACTATT